TTTGGTCTGATGAGACGAGACTGAGAAATCGGTCTTGCGAAATAAAATGCTATCTTTGGATTTATATCCTCCTACAAATTATCAAATAATACTATTATATATATATATATATATATATATATATATATATATATATATATATATATATATATATATGCATGTTTCATTAAAACGACAGACAAGGTACTACGGCTAAGCTTTTTTATTTAATTTTTCTTGTGTTCTAACAAGAGCTTTCTTTTCTGGACAAAGAGTGTTTATGTGTATGTCTTAGTGTGTAGTAGGGATGTTTTGATTTCCGAATACGGTTAGCACATTGTGGCTTTGTTCGTAGTTAATATTGTTAAGTGTTGGTCTTTTCTTTTTTATTATTAAAGTTTCCATTATTTTTAGTCTTTTTTACAGGTGGATGCAGTGAATATATTTGTGTTTTCTACTAGTATGTTTCTAATGGAGTCTAGTAAGTTTGTGTGTGTATTTAAATTGCTCCTAATGAAGCTGTGATCAGATAGGTGTAAGACATACACATAATGCACACACTCAATTAAGCTGAAAAATCAAATCATCCTTGATAATGGCTAAAGGTATTGCCGAAAGCGCTTGGAAATATAAAACATTTGGACAGTTTTGGAAGATGTAGACACGACTGGAGAGTCTGTGCTAAGAAATTTAGAATGCACCAAAAATATATATATATCTGCAGAAAGCCAGACAAACAACTATTCAATGGTTGAATTGTTAATGTCTTTTATATAGCAGAAAAAAATAGTATGGAAAAGAAAGGGCTACAGAAAAGAAAAGTAACTGACGTAAAAAAACTCATACACTGAATTCTAGACACAGAGAGAGTGGGTTGTAATTAACTTGTTGTTAAATCGTCTCAGAACGATATACGACTCTTGCGATGGAAAGATAAAGATTTCTTGTACGCGGCTTAAAGTTTATAGTTGCGTTCCTCCTCGGCAGTAGTAACCGTAGTAGTAAGCTTCGTGGTAGCAGAAGCAGCGGTACTTATATCAACAGTACACGTTAGCGGGGGTTTTGTTCCAATCTCTGACATCACTTTCGTACTTCTTCGAGCATTCAATTCAACTCTGCTTACTTTCAATCTCAGATATCTCTCCACCCAGCTCGACTACACTCGAAGACAGACGAGTAGAAAACTCCTTTGGTTATTGTAGCTTGTTCGACGTTTCCGTTCCCAGTGGTAGTAATAATAGTAGAAGTAGTAGTCTTAGATGTTGGAGGAGTAATTCGCTTCTTCGTAGTTATATCAACAGTACATTTTAGCGGATGTTTTGTTCTCAGTCATTTTCTTACTTCTTCGAGCCTCCAATTCAACTCTGCTCACTTTCAATCTCCGACATCTCTTCACCCAGCTCGACTGCACTCGAAGACAGACGAGCAAAAAACAACTACTTTTTTCAGCATAACTAAGCGTTTATATAGATAAACCTGGCTGATCATGATCGACCTTTGGCCCTACTACTTCGCACGCGATTATCACAGGTTCTAGCTACTTTCAACCAAAATCATGTGAATTCCAAAGTTCCTCATAGCTTACTAAGTTCTATTTATAATTCTAACCGATAAAGATTATTTCGACCATTTCCATTGTCTTTCTAATGACCCACTTGCAAATGGGTACAACTCCTGCCCTAGATTAGATTTCCCATCAGTAAACAAAAATGCTCTGATCTAATTTCGCTACTCAGATCCACTTCAAATTTCAATAATAAAAAAATACACGCGTGTTTGTGTTGGGTGTGTGTGTTTCCCCGACTCTCTTCTCCGTCACACACACACACACACACACACACACATATATATATATATATATATATATATATATATATATATATATATATATAAGGAAATATAGTTTTAAGGTGTGCTATATTTATGGAATATAGTGCTCAATATCAGAGATAGAGCGTATGTAAATATAAATATAAAAGTGAACATTGAAGTCAATACTCAGAGGCGACAGGCTGTTTCATGCTAGACGCAATCGTCAGGCCGTGGTCTATATATATATATATATATATATATATATATATATATATATAAAAAACTGTTTGAGCTAGATACATAAATAGATTGAATTAACCTTAGATAGATAGATAGATAGATAGATAGATAGATAGATAGATAGATAGATAGATATGAATTAGCTGAGAATAGATATTTGAGTGAAAATGTGATTCTTGACTGTTTCCATAACCTTTGATCTTTCACTTCCAAAGACTTTTCTATATTGTCATGACATTGTTGGACATGTATCGACATTTCTATGCGTCCATGTCTCGACATATAAAAAAAACGACCTCCTTCACCTTTAACCTTCCCACTCCTGCTCTCGCACAAGCTCCAACTCAGCAGCCATTTTATATTCTCCTTCTCATTTTTTTTAATTATCCCTAACTCTCGCATTCTTTCACACCTGCCCTCTTCTGGTGTCTATATGAACTTGTTTGATTTATAACTGTCCATTTAAACGATTGGACTCATTTTTTTATTTTAATCAAGGCGACAACGTGGACGGAATCCAAATAAATTGGTTATAAACTTTCATTGCTTGAACTCGCAGTTTTGTTCTGGACACGATGCATACGTAACCCAGAAAATTAGTCAAGAATTTTAGTCACCTTACCTTTATGATTCCGAAAGTAACTATTTTCTTCGGCAAGGTAAGTCTAATATTTTTATCAACGTTTAAGCAAGTTTTAGCCTGACATTAACACAATTTAAAAATGATATTCAATTTTTTTTTAATCCAGTCTCCTTTAAAAGACGTAGGCATTAATGGTTCTCAACAGCTACCTTTTTCTTTCCTGGATTTTTTTTGCCAGACGATGACAAGTGTCGAAATCCTCACAGTATTTAATATGATTGAAGTTATTGCTAACATTTTTGTCGAGAATTACAAACTCTACGTTTTGTTCAATTTCTCAAACCAATCGATGAAATTTGAATAAGCTGGTTTGTTTGGAAAATACTTTGACAAAAGCCCCGCTTCGCAGTTTTTATGCACCCTAATAAAACCAACTGTATTTTGTACCCCACTTACCTGTTTGCACTTCTCCGTAAAATCTGGTTTCAATCGGTCAATGTATGGCTATTATATAGGGTGTGACGGACAGACTAACGGACGTACTAACGAAAGTCACAGAATTTTATATATATATTGTATTTGAATTATCATGGCTTCTTGAGAAACATGGTACAGTTTATCTTTGCTTTCTTTCAAGTTTTGAATTTAGAGTAATCCTTCTCCGAGACTAGATACTACCCAAGGCTATAGAAACCAGTCTATCCTCCTATTTAACACATAACTGGGGAGAGAAGTGATGGATTCATGCCTTACCCAAGGGCATTAGTGCAAAAATGAATGTAGTAGACGAATTTGAACACGGATTCTACTTCCTGTGCCGATTATCGCTACGATACTACGAAATTTAATAATTAAAAACGCAACTGCATAATGAAAAAGATATTTGCAATATATATATATATATATATATATATGAATAAAGACAAAAGGAAAACTTAACGTAGCCGATTTTATTTTGTAATAGGTATTTATAGAAAAGCGTATAAATGTTCTTAGTTTCCCAAATGTTTTAAATTACGAAACGCTCATAAATATTCATCAGGTTAACTGTAAAATTTAGGTAAGTTATGGACGACGCTAAGTGACATAATTTAACGATTAATAATAAACGAAAGTGAGTAAAAGAAGTTTTTGAAAGTTTTATGTAAATTAATATTTAAATTATTTTACGTTGGGATTAATTTATGTTTCTTTTAATTTTTTAACATTTTTATATTCATGTTGGCTTGAGAAAGTCTTAATTCTTTCAGGAATGAAAGTCTATACTTTTCAGTTAGCCTGAATATTTATGAGCGCTTTTTTTTAAATTACAGATTTGAAAATCTAGCAACAGTTATGCTCTGGTCTATAAATACCTGTCACAAAATAAAAATTCTTGCCTTTGCCTTGATAAAGTCCCTGCGAGGACGATACGCGTCGACTAAGCTTTCCTTTTGGCCTTATTCATATCATCCCTTTACAGATATAGTCTAACTAAAATTTCACAGACCACACACACACATATATATATATATATATACATATATATATATATATATATTTCGGCAGCATGTTTTCATTAAGACATATTTCATTTTACAGTTTAGACATATTCTGTCTACTCATTTCGTAAAAATCCTTTCATGCTATTTCTATCTATCTATCTATCTAAGTTTAATGCAATCTATCTATATGATAATTTTATATGATTATTAGTAATAAAATAAATATGTATAAACACGGTGATTTTCTCTCGTCTCTCAGTAATGACATCAAAAAACTTATCCGAAGGTATAAAAGGATTTTAACGAAAATGAGTAGACAGAACATGATGTAATTTCAATTCTGAAAGCGATTGATATAAAATTAACAAAGACTACACTTTAATCATTAAGAATGAGTGATCTATTTTTGTGCAACTCTTATAATAATTTATTATAACACAATTAAAATATGTATTCTAAAATCGGACATTATTTTCCGAACAACCTAATACAACACTTTAATCGTTATCTATTGACATATTTTTTTTTATTTTCCCAGCAGATTCAACAAAAGAAGTTGGATACGTTCTTTGGAAAGAAATACTTACCAAAAATACCTTTCCTTTCTTATATCCACGTACACAACAGTCTACAGTGTACAGATATATTTCTAAGTTCACATAGAACACTTTCATATATATGTAAATACTGTCAGATACCTCCTAACAAGTGGACCGAGCGATTACACAAAGGTTCGTCTATGAAACTGGAGTAGAGATGCTGAATATAACATTAATCAGCTAAATGAGAAATTTTATATTTGTATTAATCCTAGATAGATAGATAGATAGATAGATAGATAACCAAATAGGATAGAAACGCCCATCTATTCGACTCGAGAGCCAAATTCTTGATATACAGTCATGGAATTCGAAAATAAGCAAAAAATCTATTTGAATCGGCGTCTTTTCTACACGCTTGTGTTCCTCACTCTCTTAATTCCTGTTCTTCTGGGGTTTCTTGTGTCGCGTATTTTCTGTTACTGCACCGCCGACCAATCTGAGTTTGCATTCGATATGTGGTCAACGCCGGTAGGCAAAAACGTCAGCGGACACTCGGCCAAAGCTAAACCATCACCAACGCTCGGATCCCGAGCAGTCTGGAACAATCTGCGTCTACCCCCACACGTTGTGCCTCTTCACTACAGCGTCACCCTCTATCCTGTATTTGCCGGCAATGACAGTGTGTTTTATGGGAACGAGAGCCTTATCTTCTTTGTGAGAAACGCAACTCGCCACATTCTACTGCATAGTAAACGCCTAAACGTAACATTGGTCGCACTGAGTGCCAATTCGACGGGTGAACGCATCGGCGTAAGGAAATGCTTCCTCTTCGACCCGTTCGACTATTGGATTGTGGAGACAGTCAAAGAGATTCCGGCCAACTGGGTCGTTAATTTAACGCTCACATTCCATGGAGTTTTGACCAAATACAGACGCGGTTTCTTCAAGAAAACTTACACGGATTTTCGAACCGATACAACAAGGTAGGTAAACTTGTATTTACTATAATTATTTACTAAGCTAAGCTAAATTTTGAAACAGTGTCATAAGTACATGACATCTAGTGAGGATCGAACTCACTAATCAGTAGAAATGTCCATCCAGACTAGCTCGCTATTACTCTACACCGAGAAGCTTTAATGTAGCTTATTTAGAACTAGCTTTATTATTAGCATTATTTAGTAGTTATAGAAAAGGCACACCCTATGCCTTCTCGAGCTAACATTTTCGGTTGACATGCAGTGGAAAGACTATATTGAATCCACAGCTAGGTCTGCTGCTAAGAAAGTTGGTTCACTGTGTCTGCTAAACAATTTTCCTCTCCATAATCTATCTTACATATCTATTCGTCCATGCTTAGAATATTGCTGCCACATATGAGCTGGTGCTGTGACGTCACCCGGTGTCGCTGCGCCAATCATGACGTCTGCCTGTCGCGCCCGCCGTGCTGTCCTAGTCGCGGCGCCAATTGTGACGTCACCCCGTCTGTCTCCGCGCCGTCGCCGTCCTATCCTGTCCCGTGACGACCAATGTGACTTGGTATTGGTCGCGGCACCAAATGTGACGTTCTAACCTTTTGCTGATTTGGATGGGAATCTGGTTAGATTCGGCATCAGCCGTGTCGTTCCCAGCTCGCCTCCAACGTCTGGTTACCAAAGTAACTGCTTTGATTTCTAGTCTAACCTACCCACGTTGTGATTTGATCTTCAGGTTGCTAAATACAGGACTGTGTCTTCCTCCCAAGCCGATAATATGGATTCGTGACACTTTGTGTTTGTTAGACGAGTTGTTTGTTCTTTAAGAAACTTGTTCTTGGTGTATCTTCAGGCGATATTCGTAAAACTTGTCTTGGTGGTGTGAGTCTAAGTCGTTCTTCAAAAATAAATTGTTCTTGGTTAGAAGTTGAGGTCGTGATTGCGTGAATCTTAGTCAGCTTCTGCGAGGCGGGTCCTCAGAGCTCTCAGCTCACTGCAACTTCTTGCCTGTCTGTCTCCAACCCCAACTGCGAACTCAACTCAACTTAACCAACTCAACTCGTTGCAACTCTGCTTATATGGACGCCAACCAAAACCGGGGTGGGCTTGTCGGGGTTTGAGGTTCCTTGATAATTCTAAATCCACAATCCACTTCTTTGTTTTCGGTCAGGAAAATTTTTTTTTCCATTTTTGGAAGTCCTTCCAGATTCTTCCTTTTTAATATGGGTATCTCACCCAATCCCTTCAGGTTTCCCCTCCCTCTCACAGTGGCATCTCACACTGATCCTTTCAGGGGGCGTTAACAGTCCTCCCCTCCTTCTTCATAGTTTACCTTCGCCTAACGCTCACGCCACCATTCAGCCAATGGGCGCTCAGCGGCGTGGGTGTGGCTAGACTAGCCTCGGTTTAAAAAATCTTGCTCAAAGAAAAAATTATCTTCCTTTTTCTTTTCTTTCTCTTTCTTCTTCTCGACAACAAGTCCTTAGACTCGTAATGTGGTCCCTTAATCTCAATTTTATCTGAATGTCACCTAGAATTCGTCACTCGGAACCTTCGCCAAACAAGTGGGTGGTCAATTGGACGTATTGCGCTAGAGCCAATTATTCGTTTCGATAAAATAATTTTCTTAAACACAAAACAGGTGCCTTTTCCAAACGACATCTCCGTAGATGGCTAATGGATCAATCTTTTCTTCCTGGTGGTCCCGCGGACATTTTTCCCGCGACCCAGTGCATGACCTAATTAATGTTATCTCTCAGTTTCTGTTTCGTAGGCCACCTGACCGACCTGAAACTTTCACCATTGCCATGGGCATATTGGCTATATCTTATTCGGTGCGTCGTCATAAATTAAATTAAATCCGACACATCCGCGACCTCACTTTCCTCGCTAATGAGAATAAAATCTTTAGCACTTTTCTTTGTTAAAAAAAAAATAACATCGTCTTTTCGTGATAGATTCTTATCACCTAATTTTAATTCTCGCCTTTTTTCTTTTCTTTTTTTTTTCGCAACCCTAAATAGTGTCACAGTGCTCTTGCTATATATTTAGAGATTCTTGATAAAATCTAAAGAAGAATCAGCAATATTATTGGTCCTGACCTGACATCTTGGCTTCAGTCACTTCCCACCGTCGTAAAGTTGCTTCTCTGCGCCTTTTCTATAAATAATTTCATGGTAATTATTCGGATGGGCTCTTCGCTATAGTACATAGACTTCATGAATTTAAACTCAGTACTAGATTAGAAACAAGGCCTGGCCAATTTACAGTTGAATTGGATAAATGTAACTGTAAGTTCTATGTTAACAGTTTCTTTTCTCGCACTTCTCGCTTGTGGAACACTCTCTCTCTCTCTCTCTCTCTCTCTCTCTCTCTCTCTCTCTCTCTCTAAAAGTCTCCTCTTTGTTAATATTTGTATTAATCCTAGGTAGATAGATAGATAGATAGATAGATAGATAGATAGATAGTGTTATGGGATCTTACCCATAATAATGAACTATTCCATACTTAATAAATACTGCGCCTCAGGAGTATGCAAGGAGTCAGTAGAGTCAGTAGTTCACGTCGAGTCAGTAGTTCAAGTCGAGTCAATAGTCGATTCAGAGGCAGTCGCGTTCAGACGATTACTGCAAGATATTGGAATAGTGATACTGGTCGAGACTACATCGTTCTCTCTACTAAACCTGATTGTTCATACTAACACTTCTACTTCTCTGTATATATTCCTATTTGTAATATATCTGTTTGTAATATATCTGTGTTATTCCATACCTGTGTTCGAGTTCTTCTTTATTGGTTCTACCTTGGACTATCACCGTGGTACAAGGAATCGGACCATAACAGATAGATAAATAGATACTCTCTCTCTCTCGCTCTCTCTCTCTCTCTCTCTCTCTCTCTCTCTCTCTCTCTCTCTCTCTAATAAAGTGTCCTCTTTGTTAATATTTGTATTAATCCTAGATAGACAGATATCTAACCAAATAGGATAGAAACGCTCATCAACGCTCTCTCTCTCTCTCTCTCTCTCTCTCTCTCTCTCTGCTCCATGTTTTCCGGACAACTTTTATCTACAAAAATGTAAATCCAATGTCAATCGTTATCTTCTAACCTCTTAATTCTTATTCTTTTATTATCCTCTCTCCTTAATAGTATATTTTTCAAGGGAATCGTTGCTTGAGGGAAGTCATGGATGCTAATCTATGAGAATTATCATAAAAGAATGTTTTTCTATTCTTTATAAGCGGGCCCGTATACTTAACTACTGCCTTTGTTTGCATATTTATGTTTCAGATTTTTAGCGAGCACCCATTTTGAACCGATCCACGCCAGAAGAGCTTTTCCTTGTTTCGATGAACCACATTTGAAAGCGGAATTTTCAATTAACCTCATTCACAAACCCGTTTATATGGCGCTTTCAAATATGCCTAATCAGGTAAGCATTCCCCCCCGGAACAAACACGTTTCTCTTGCATGAGTTGCCATATTCATCAACCTCAATGGTATTACAAAGGTAATTAACCTTTTCCTTATATCGGAAACATTCGGCATTCATTGACTGAGCAGCCAGTGCCATTGTCGGTTGAAATTTATAAAATCTTTATATTAAAACAATTTCACGGGAAAACTGGTTTCTCAATTCCAGTAACTGTTATCGCTCTTTCCAGTTCAACTTTTTGTTTAAAATAATGTCCAACGTCATCTTATGCCATTTTTTTCTCTTCGAGTTACATGTGCTATCCATTTTAGTTGTTGCTACTATTGACAGTCCTCAAGAGATGTGGTTTATATTTTTTTTGTGCTACTGCAGCGCCAGTCCACGTGGTTCGAACACGAATGGTCCTTTCCAAGACCTACATGGTTCATTTATTCGAAGTTATTTTTAATGATTAATTTAAGAAAGCGTTTGTATACAGCTGAAAGTTTAAATATTTCTAAACGAGTTTGTCGCTATCCAAGATACTTAAGTGAAAACCTAGATTTAATAGGGTTATTTAAGGAGATGACTCAAGTTTTTTTGCCTAATGTCTCGGCTTTTGTTGCAACTAGCGGTGTTGGGCGAAACTAACACTAACGCAGTCAGTGTTCAATTTCCTTATCTCCTATACTAAATAAGTTAGAACTGATGCATACACCGAAACATTTGAAATGTTTAATATTTAGTAATTCCACTGTATTCTTTTTACGAAGGATTCAGGTTACGTTTCATCACTGAGTTCTTGTTTTGCAAAGGTTTATCTTGAGTTCTATTTCTTAAAACATTTGATAGAGGATGTTGATTTTTGTTCAAGATCGTTCTTGGTTTGGTTTGGTTTGGTTTATTTTGTTTTAGGGCATATCAACCTCAATGGGTTATTTAATGTCGACAACATTTTTAGGGTAGATTCGTATGAATAGAATATGTATTCTTTGGTTTAAATTGGTTTGGTCTATTTTGTTTTATGGCATATCAACCTCAATGGGCTATTTAATGCCGACAACATTTTAGGGTAGATTCGTATGAATAGAATATGTATTCTTTGGTTTAGATTGGTTTGGTTTATTTTGTTTTACGGCATATCAACCTCAATGGGTTATTTAATGCCGACAACATTTTAGGGTAGATTCGTATGAATAGAATATGTATTCTTTGGTTTAGATTGGTTTGGTTTATTTTGTTTTACAGCATATCGACCTCAATGGATTATTTAATGCCAACATTTTTAGGATAGATTCATATGAATAGAATATGTATTCTTTGGTTTAGATTGGTTTGGTCTATTTTGTTTTACGGCATATCAACCTCAATGGGTTATTTAATGCCGACAACATTTTAAGGTAGATTCGTATGAATAGAATATGTATTCTTTGGTTTAGATTGGTTTGGTTTATTTTGTTTTACGGCATATCAACCTCAATGGGTTATTTAATGCCGACAACATTTTAGGATAGATTCATATGAATAGAATATGTATTCTTTGGTTTAGATTGATTTGGTTTATTTTGTTTGACGGCATATCAATCTAAATGAATTATTTAATGCCGACAAAAATTTTTATTGCTGGTAATATTTTGTTTTGTCAAAAATCTGTTTCTGGTAATATATTTCCTTAAAAATTGTATTGCTGGTAATAATTTGTTTTTCAAAAAAGTATTGCCGGTAATAGTTAACTATTTGCCCATAACTGGGACTCCAACAGATGCTACCACCCCGGTTTAGGATGGAGCTGGGAACACCAGCAATTAAAAGGTGGTTCCACGCTCCTCAAAACCTCCTGATCAGAGGCCTTGCTGCTGGACGTAGTTTATCGTCTTACTCAGGACGCGGATGTAGCTTAACGTCTTATCCAGGACGATCAAGATCATTCTTATCCCAAATATGAATACCTATGTCATCATCATAGCATCACCACATCATCAGTACATTTTACTCAAGAGAGAAAGCAAGAACGTCGTTTTTTTTTTTATTATCAAATTCGTTTGGGATGTAATATGTTAATTGATCAATGCTCATCTCTCCACATCTGTGCTTGTATATACGCCAGGCATAATCTCGGAAAAGATTAAACATGACTCGATTTTTTTAGGTTAATGTTGTGCTAAACCCTCCTACAGTAGAATGAACTCTTCCTCCTCTCATAAATACTAACTGCGAGACTTCCTAGCGTAGAGTCGTAAGATAACGAGACGCAGTGTTAACCTACCGTTCGGACGTACACTTCTAACTGCTTATTACTAACACTCTTGCTTCGTATATATCTGTTATTTTCAATGCACTTGTTCATCCTACCTTCGTCTTCCGTGTCTTTCTTTCTGGCCTTTAAACAGGCCACAACAGTTAACCTTTTGATTTTATAGCAATCGATATGAGCTTTGTTGTAACTGATTCATATGCCAAGTTATTTGAAGTGTTGACTTTTTACTACATCCACATCCTGAATTTTGGTATCCGGTGAATTGCTCGGAATCAATTGCTCGATAAATAATTTCTCGAACTATCAGTTGCTCGAAATGCTGTCTGCTCGAAACCTGTGGTTTAAAAAAAATAAAACTACATTGTTTCTAATATTTACTATAAGATAAAATAATACAACTTTATTGTTATTAACTGAACAGTTAAAATTAAAGAACGAGTACATTTATAAAAAAATTTAAAAAATATAACTATTGTTGCTAATATTTAGTATGAAATATTATATGCAACACTTCTTAAATAATCTTTTACATTACTTCAAGCAATCTGCTTTTCGAGCAATTGATAGTTCGAGAAATTATTTTTCGAGAAATTGATTTCGAGCAATATACTGTCGAGCAACTGATTTCGAGCAATTTCCCTAGATCCCTGAATTTTTATGATGGATTCAAGGTAGATGCTATCACTGCTTTCATTTCAATTCCTGATCATTGTTTCTGTTTTGGAAAGGTTTATTTTGAGCCCTATTTCTTTGAATAGAGGATATGAAAGGTTTATTTTGAGCCCTATTTCTTTGAATAGAGGATATGAAAGGTTTATTTTGAGCCCTATTTCTTTGAATAGAGGATATGAATTTTTGGTTCAAGTTGATTCTTATCACAACCTTATCCCATGAATACCTCATAAATCAGTACCTTTGCCTCGGTAGGGGGTCATTGTCTTCTATTGGTTGATTCGTTTGGGATGTGATATGAAATGCTTAAATGATCAATGTCCATCTCTACACATCTGTGCTTATATATGCAATGGGCATAGTCTAGGACAGGGATCGGCAACCTTGTGCTATCTATGTGCCGAATTAGGGTTTTAAAAAAATTCAGTGTACCAACAGCATACCTATTTTTATACAAGCGAAGGTCAATATACCTGTTCTGAATATATTTTATGTAGCAATATATACTATATATACTTTAGTATATATTAAAATTGAAATAGCTAAATACCTTCTTTGCGTTTTAGTAGTTCTTGGTTCGGACTTCGTGATGTCATTTGCAGTTGCGTGCCATTTGAAATTGCTTGATGTGGCACGCGTGCCGTAGGTTGCCGACCCCTGATCTAGGAAATGATTACATAGATTATATTTCGTCCTTGGTGTACTCCTGATTGGGTTTGAAATGATTGGGTGTTTCCATTCCAATTCGAGATCATTGTTTCTGATTTGGAAATGTTTATCTTGAGTCCTATTTCTTGGAACACTTGACATAGGATATTCATATTTTTTTTTTAAGATCATTGTATTTCAATACACCACAAAGGTGGAGCTATTAAAATTCAAATACAGAATTGAAATGTTTCAATACGTCGTGCTAGACAATTTTTCACGACAGGATCTTACACTTTTATTGGTCTACCATTCATCCATGCATTGAATATTACTGTCGTATCTGATCAGGTTCTTCCGCTATGTATTTACAGATTCGTAATGAAATCCAAAAGAAGAA